GGGGGCAGTTTGTGTGTGTGTGTGTGTGTGTGTGTGTGTGTGTGTAGATATATGGGCTCTTCAGAACGTTCATGGAAAATATGTGTTACAAAAAAACTGCATGAATGCCAACATTTTCTGTAAAGAAATTTATTCTTTAGTTCCCTTTTCCTCCCTCTCCCTCTCCCTTTCCCTCTCTCTCTTCCTAAGATTTGCTTATTTGTTTGATAGTGTTACAGAGAGAGAGAGGTCTTGTATCCGCTGGGTCTCTCCCCAGATGGCTGCAACAGCCAGGGCTGGGCTAGGTGAAGCCAGGAGCCAGGAGCTCCATCTGGGTCTCCCACCTGAGTGTAGGGCCTAGCACTCGAAGCATCTTTCACTGCTGTTCCGTGGCCATTAGCAGGGAGCTGGATCGGAAGTGGAGCAGCTGGGACGGGAACCGGCACGCGTGTGGGAGGCTGGTGTTGCAGGTGACAGCTCTACCTGCTGTACCGCAGCGCTGGCCTCTCGTTCCATTTCTGTAGACTTCTTGAGTCCCTGCATGCAGAGGTGCTGGGGGGTTGGATGTAAATGGAGTTGCTGAGAAAGGTGGGATTGTTTCATAAATTGCTTTTTTTTAACTTGATGATATAGCAGGACAGCATTTTCAAGGAAGGTTTATTTAAATCATCCCTAAAGCCTTTCTTCTTAGAGAAGGCAAGTGAGATTGTTTAATTAAATGTCTGTTTTTATATCCTGTGACTTCGTAGTCTGCTGTGGTTCACCTGGGACTGCTGATCTCCTGCCCAGGGCCATGGGAGTGCTTTCTCTGTCTCCTTCAGGCGGCTCTTGGCTTGGCCTGTGCACTTGGTGCCTCCCGCCCAACACCCTCCCCCCCACCCCCCATGCTTACCTTGCCTTGACATCCCCAGGGTGTAGGAGACAGGACCTGGGCCCTGTCGAGGAGGGGTTGTGGGTAATTGGGTGAAGTGGGCCCTGGGTCCAGCTCCAGGACTGTGGTGGGCGTGCTAGTTTCTGTTTAAACGGTACAAGGGAAACATGGAATCTGGCCAGTTCCCAGAGGAAACAAGTCAGTTTATTTCTCTCTCTCTCTCTCTCTCTCTCTCTCTCTCTTTTTTTTTTTTTTTTTTTTTGGACAGGCAGAGTGGAGAGTGAGAGACAGACAGAGAGAAAGGTCTTCCTTTGCTGTTGGTTCACCCTCCAATGGCCGCCGTGGCCAGTGCACCGCGCTGATCCAAAGGCAGGAGCCAGGTGCTTCTCCTGGTCTCCCATGGGGTGCAGGGCCCAAGCACTTGGGCCATCCTCCACTGTACTCTCTGGCCACAGCAGAGAGCTGGCCTGGAAGAGGGGAAACTGGGACAGAATCTGGTGCCCCGACCGGGACTAGAACCCGGTGTGCCGGCGCCGCAAGGCGGAGGATTAGCCTATTGAGCCGCGGCACCGGCCACAAGTCAGTTTAAATGCCGTGATGTTTTTAATACTGTTGTTGGTGTGGATGCCACCTGCGAGAGTTCTTCAGGCAGCCCCTCCCTGCCATGGCTCCCAGGCCTGCCTCGCTGGGGGAGGGGAAGCTGTAGCTGTCCTCCCAGCAGATCTGCAAGGCCCTGGGGCTGCCACATCCTCACTTGGGTCCCACTCCCCACTGATGGGCACGCCAGGTCTGCTTGCTGCTGTTTCCACCTGCAGGGCCGGGGGTCACGATGCTCGCCTTTGAGTCCCTTCCCCGGACCAAGGCGCTGCTCGGAGTTCTCAGCGTCTGTCTCCTTTCTCATCTGCGGCCTTTGCTTGGATTTCTGTGCTGTTGTCGCCCTTTGCGTGCTGCAGGGTTAGGGAGCTAAATCCTCCCTCCCTCCCTGTCTGGGCCACACAGCTGGGAACGAACGTTCCGGGCTGAGTGCCTCAGGCCCCAGGAGGCCCGCCTGGTCTCTCCCTGCTCCAGTTTCCCTCCGTGGTCTCCCCCACCTGCCCCGGGGTGGCAGCATGCTTGGTGGAGAGTGTGTGCTGTTTGGGACAGGCGGTCTTGACCCTGTCCGAGGCCCTGCTTCCCACAGGCGTGGCTTCTCCCGGTCCTGGTTGCAGCTGCTGGGAGCATGAGCATCCGCAGATGAACGGCGACCTGTGCCTGAGGATTCTGCCTGAGGTTTTGTCCAGCCCGGGGAGCCATGTGCTCGGGCCTCTGGGTGGTCTGCTTCCCTGGGGCCCCGCTGGGCCACCCAAGGGGTGTCTCTGCAGCCCACCCCTGGACTCTGACACTTCTGCCACAGTGTTCTGTGCCACTCCTTGTGCCTCTACCCAGTGTGGGTGACTGTTTTCTCCGGCTGGAGATATTTACCTCATTCTAATGATAAGGATAATGCCAGTCCTCTTGGCGTTGGGAAGACAGATTGGCGGGGCCTTCCCTGCGCTAAATGCCATTGCTTCATCACACTGGAGAGTAACACATGCCTGTTGTGAGACATGACTCCTTGGAACGGGCTTCTGACATCTCCTCGGACAAGATGATAAGCCAGATGAAGACTAAGAAAATTCCACTTGACCTGTCTCGTGCAGCCGCCTGTGTCCTGCGTGTGTTGCCTGGGGTGGCCCAGCTGCCGCTGGGCCGGTGAGGAGAGACCTGGGGGTCCGGGAGTGCTTTATTGATTGTGTCTGAGGAAATGTCGCTGTGCTGACAAGGCCCTGGGCAGAGATGCTGTGTCGCTGGCGAGCTCCTGCAGTCTTCTGGTGGCTTTTGCTGACTCAGGCCCCTGAGCGGGGCAGGTGAAGTCAGGTCTGCTCGGGTTGCGGGGACGTGGAGTCAGCGCTGTGGAAGCCACTTCCCCGTGCGTGGAGGCTGCTGATGCTCGCGTCAGCACGCGAGGGCTGCACGTGGTGTCTGGGAAAAGCCTGTCCCGTTCAGCTCGCTCTGTCTCCCCGTGCACTTTGATGGGCTCTTGGAGACCTAGTTTCTGGCTCCTGAACTGGAGGAGGTGGCAGCTCTCACCTCAGGCCGCCCTGAGAAACTGGGGACACACAGAGGAGGTGCTCGGAGCAGACACCGGGCCCTGGGCGAGCAGAGTTCTGGGGTCACCTGCCTTGCTGGGCTGGGCATGAGCAGAGCTGTCCCTGCATACCACAGTGAGCGCCTACAGCTGATTCTGCAGGGCCGCTCGGAGAGCAGGACCAGCGGAAGGAGCTCATCATTGTAACTCTGTGTCCGCGGGAAGGGCTGGCTGGGTGGCCGCGGTGTGCTCGGGGAGTGAGCTCCAGGAGGCTGTGGTGGTGCAGGGGTCCCCGAGTTAACGCAGTCTCCTCAGGAGCCGGGGTCTCAGGAGTAAGCACCCCCACTTTCTCCGTGCCCTGCCTCACCTGCTTGCCACCTGGGTGACCTGACCCCTAAACATTTATGCTTTCAGTTGTTGGCGTCCTTTGTCCTCCCCTGTAACGCACAGGCTTCCAGAGGGCACCCGCTCCCTGTTCGTCCCTGCTTCGTGCGTGGGTGACGTGTGGGGACGGTTCCCGCGTCGGGCTCCTGCTGCCTGTCGTCCACATGACCCACTGTGGAGGCAGCCCGGGAATGTGGAAGTGTGGACAGGACTGTCCATGGCCCGGCATAGACAGGACGTACTGATGCGTGCTGCGGTGTGGGTGGAGTGCGCAGGCCCCCTGGGGTCTGAGCCCTCCCTCGGGACGCCCACTGAGGCAGCTCCACAGCAGCGGAACTCAGGTTAAACTAGATGAGTGTGTGCAGTGAAAGGTGTGAGAGTGCTTGGCATACAGTAAGCACTCAATAAATGTTAGCAACTACAATGTGAGAATTACTGTTATTTTTATCAGCTTGGAACTTTCTAAATATGTTCTAGGCTGAAGTGTTTCTTGCCTTAAGGAACATTTTCCTTGCAGTGGCGCCCTCCCTCTACTTTGCAAATAAGATTTTTTAAAAATTAAAGGACACAGAATTTTTTAAACATAATATGAGTGTTACACTGGATGATACCATTTTTCGCAAGCATCTAAAATTAGGTTGCTCAAGTTTTGGATAAGCCATTTGAATTAGGTAACTGTTTTGCATTTTGAAAACTTTCTTAAAAAAGATTTATTTATTTAGTTTGAAAGTCACAGAGAGAGAAGGAGAAGACAGAGAAAGAGAGAGAGAGAGAGAGAGAGAGGGAGAGAGCGAGCAAAATCTACCATATTCTTTTTCACTCCCCAGATGGCTGTAATAGCCAGGGCTGGGCCAGGCGGGAGCCAGGAGCCAGGAGCCAGGAGCCAGGAGCTTCATCTGGGCCTTCCACGTGGGTGCAGGGTCCCAAGCACTTGGGCCATCCTTTGCTGTTTTTCCTAGGCCATTAGCAACGGGCTGGATTGGAAGCGGGAGAGGCAGAACATAAGCAGGTGCCCTCTAAGGAATGCCAGTGTTGCAGGCGGTGGCTTAACATGCTGCGCCACAGTGCTGGCCCCTGCGTCCTCAAGACTTTTCAGTTAGGGTCTCTCATTAGGTGTTTTTATTTTATTTTATTTTTTTAAATACACTTTCAGAAGGGACTTGTTGGGAGCACCATCGTCCATTATTGCTTTGAAGCCCACGTGTGGTGTTGCTGTGTGAGGCCGTTGATCAGGGCGCAGGGGTGCTCCCCTGGTGTGGCTCTGAAACGAAGCGTGCAAGCAGGTTTTGCAGGAATTCTGGCCGATGAGCACGTCAGATGTCAGCAGCAAGGTTTTAGGGATCAGCTGGATCACCTTTCAGGTCTCCACCAGGAATAAGTCATCCACTCCAGGTTCTGTCTCATTAGAATGTGAAATGCCTGGGAAGCGATCGTTTGCAATATATTAATTATGTTAATTAATCAGAGGGGATTCAGAATATTAACTACCTGCAACCAATTAGGTATTTAAATTGAGAGCCGTTGAGCGATGAGGTGGAAGACTGCATGCGTCATTGGGTGAGTAGATGAGAAAGGGGCGTGTGAGGGCTGATGGCCCTGCTGTCCCTTCCGGCCTTGTTGATCCCGTGTGCTTGACGGCCGCCTTGTGTTTCTGTGCAGAGGGGGAGGATGTGGACAGTGTGGACATCTGCAGCGTGCCCGCCGAGGTGCTGCGCAACATCGAGGCCGACACCTACTGGTGCATGAGCAAGCTGCTGGACGGCATCCAGGTGAGCGCTGCCCGCCCCAGGGGCTGAGGGCTGCGGGTCCATGCCCCAGGGGCTGCAGGGGTGCGGGTCCATGTCCCAGGGGCTGCAGGGGTGCGGGTCCATGCCCCAGGGGCTGCAGGGGCGCGGGTCCATAACCCAGGGGCTGCAGGGGTGCGGGTCCATGCCTCAGGGGCTGCAGGGCCGCGGGTCCATGCCCCAGGGGCTGAGGGCCGCGGGTCCATGCCCCAGGGGCTGCAGGGGCGCGGGTCCATGCCCCAGGGGCTGCAGGGGCACAGGTCCATGCCCCAGGGGCTGCAGGGGTGCGGGTCCATGCCCCAGGGGCTGCAGGGGCACAGGTCCATGCCCCAGGGGCTGCAGGGGTGCGGGTCCATGCCTCAGGGGCTGCAGGGCCGCGGGTCCATGCCCCAGACGCCTTTCCTGGGAGAGCACTGGGCCTGTCCACAGGCTGCCTTCTGAATCCACTCGCCAACTCCTTGCGGCGTCTGGGTCTTCCTCAGTGGTGAGCTCTCCTAGGGGCTGACCAGGGTGTGAGGTGGGGCCCAGACCGGGCGGCTGCTGAGCGTATCAGTGAGAAGACAGGTGCAGCGTCGGATCCTGGAGGTTCTCGTCGGTCCGACCGCTGCCTGCAGGCTCTGGGCACCGGCACCAGATGCGAGGTGTGGCTCACGCGAGGCAGATTGTCTTCAGAGGTTCTGCGTTTCGAAGGGCATCAGATTTGGGGCGGCTGATCCCCGTCTGACACCAGGCCCGTGGCAGGCTCAGCCTCGCCGTCTCGGTGCCAGGGCCATGCGTGCTGGTCTGTGCCTGGTCTCACAGGCAAACCCAAGCTGGTGGCAGACCGTGAGCCGCGGTGCAGGGCTCTGCCCATCTCCCTCGGTGGAGGCTTGTGTCTGAGAGTTCCATAGGAGACCACAGGGCTCCCAGTGACAGGGCTGATTTCATGGGACCAGTGTGGTGGTGAAGTGGCCGCCGTGCAAGGACAGACCCTCGAGTGGCAGGAACTCTGTGCATCTTACGCCTTTCCTGGACACCTGCTGCACACCTGGGGAGCAGCAGTTGAGTTTGCTGGGGCTCTCCTGGAGAGAGGGTGGATGTTGAGGTCCAGCTCCAGGAGGTAGCCTAGAGCAGAGCTCGGGGAGGGCGATGGGCTTTGCCCACGAGGCCGGGAGAAACGTGGGGGGAGCACTCTGCAGCCTTCCTGCGTCCCAGCCTCTAAGGAGGTGGGGATGCCACTGTCACAGCAGCCGCTCCTGACACCACTCGCTGACAAGGCCTCCGTGAGCTGCTGCGTGTGAAGTGGCCAAAGTGGCGCTTTTACAGATGTGTCTAAAGATGTAGACTCGGCCTTAATTTGAATGAGTTAGATGAAGTGTTTCTGCTGACGGGCCCTGCGTGGATGACATCACTGCTGATGAGTGAGGAGCCGACAGGCAGAAGGGGAAGCCCTTCGTGCCGCTCCAGGCCTCGCATGGTTTCTCGGGAAGAGAAGTGTGCCTGTGGGAGATGTATTTGGCCACACGTCAATTCGTCATTTCCCTTACCTTGTTAATGTTTGCATATTTTTAATCCACCCCCACCCCTGAGCTCAAGGCTTTTCCCTCCTTAGGAAAGAGATTGAACCGTAATGTGAAACTATAAATTTGAATGTCACTTCTCTGATCGTGAGTGATGAACTCCCGCCATTTAAGTACAAGGTTATCTGGCTTTTATTTGTAAATAAGATCAGCTGCACAATGAGATCGATGCTGCCGTTTCATTTTCCCCTGGAGATTTGCTGTCTGATGAAGGGCTTTATTGGCAGCGCTCGCACGTGGAAGGCCTAGAGGCCTGCTGCCTGTGCGCCACGCGCAGTAGTGGTTGCCTTGGTTCCCGTGGTGCTTGCGGGCTGCATGATTCCGTGTAGTCCTCACGTGGTTTCCGTGTGGTTGTCACGGGTTGCTTGATGCCACAAGCGCCCCGGGGTTCCGTCGGTCCTCACGTGATCCTCCAGTGGCCACGTTGATGCCGCACGGCCTTCCTGTGTTTGCATTGCTTCCATGTGATCTTCACGTGGTTGTTGGATGCCACGTGACCCTTATGTGGTTACGTTACGTTGGTTCCTCACAGTCCAACTGAGAGCAGTGAGAGGCACATTTGGGACATTGGGGTTTGGCTGTAATGCTCAGAGGGGCCACGTAGGCGGCCCCAGCAGAGGGCCTCTGGGGGACTGCTGTGATGCGTGGGGGGCGCAGTGGCCGTGGCTGACTGAACTCCAGCCGGCTGCCTGGATGCCAGCAGCTGGGCCCCCCTCAAGGACTGGCCTCCCCGCCTCTCTGCTTGTCCCCCTGCACTTGGTCTCACTTCACTTAACTCTTCAGAACTGCTAGTACTTCAAGAAGCACTTTCTTCTTCTTATCTTTATCCTGATTGAAAACCCTTGGGAAAAACACTAGGTTTTTCTCTGTGTAGACTCTCAGCGTGGCTTTCACCGGTGGCTCTGCTACCTTAGGCAGAGTCTGGTTTACTTATCAGTGTGCCTGAGACCACATGTGGCCAGGGACTTTGGTCAGTCACGGGTCCAAAACCATGGACCTGACGCACTGCTCGTGAGTGGTAACAGCAGGACGAAGATGAGGGGCCCTGAGCGTGTCCTGCAGCACAGCGCTCCTGACACTGGTGCTGCAGGACACAGCAGACAGGACACACGAGGCCGTCGGCCCACGGCACCCGGCACACAAGGCCGACAGCCCACAGCAGACGGGACACACGAGGCTGACGGCCCACGGCACCCGGCGCACAAGGCTGACAGCCCACAGCAGACAGGACACACGAGGCTGATGGCCCATGGCACCCGGCACACGAGGCCGACAGCCCACAGCAGACGGGACACATGAGGCCGACAGCCCACAGCAGACGGGACACACGAGGCCGACGGCCCACAGCAGACGGGACACACGAGGCCGACGGCCCACAGCAGACGGGACACACGAGGCCGACGGCCCACAGCAGACGGGACACACGAGGCCGACGGCCACAGCAGACGGGACACACGAGGCCGACGGCCCACAGCAGACTGGACACACGAGGCCGACGGCCCACAGCAGACGGGACACACGAGGCCGACGGCCCACAGCAGACGGGACACACGAGGCCGACGGCCCACAGTAGACGGGACACACGAGGCCGACGGCCCACAGCACCTGGCACACAAGGCCGATGGCCAGAGACAAAGCTGCTTGCCTGAGATTGCGCGGCCCTTGCTGCAGCCCACACTTGGCACCCTGAAACCGAGGCTCTCCCCTCTGCACTATGACCTTCTTTTTAATGTATTTTTATTTTGTTGCCCTGGGAGAGCCTGGGTGGTAGCAGTGATGCTTCTGGTTCACCTGGAGCTTCCTTCGCCGATTCTGCATCCTGTGAGGTGTCACTAACTGATGGAGGGACTGCCTTGATTTGGCCCAAGTGTCGTGGTGAGCCCAGCCCGTGAGGTGCTGGGTGGGTGCTGTGCACCTGTGCTGGGATGGGCAGGGAGAGGACGGCTTCTGGAGATGAGGGCACAGTGTGGGAGGGGGCTCTGGCTCCAGAGAGGTGGTGACGAAAGGCAAAGAACGAACTGACCCCTCCCCACAAATGCCAGGCGACTGGGTGCCCCTGAGCAGTATGCTTCAGTCTCAGCGAGGGCCAGCCCTGCAGAGACAGAGTGGCGGCTCCACCAGCAGCTCCAGTGCTGCAGCTGGCACCCTGGCCGGTCAGAGCAAGAGTCACACTGGGAAACAGCTGTTCCCAGCGGGGCACACGGGTGCTGCCCGGGAGCACAGTGACCCGGCTCTGCAGGACCCTTCATGTGGTGAGAAGTAAGGAACTTTTCTTATGTGGGTGAATTCTTGAGTTCTCTTCATGTTTCCCACATTAGGAGTTCAGGGTGGCGCTGTGGCTGCAGGATTCCCCACCTGCAGCACTGGCCTCCCATATCGGTGCTGGTCTAGTCCCGGCTGCTCCACTTCTGATCCAGCTCTCTGCTGTGGCCTGGGAAAGCCGTGGAAGATGGCCAAGTGCTGGGGCCCTGCACCTGCGTGGGAGACCCGGGAAAAGCCCTGGCTCCTGGCTTCAGGTCGGCCCAGCTTCAGCCATTGTGGCGATTTAGGGAGTGGACCAGCGGATGGAAGACTTCTCTCTCTCTCTCTCTCTCTCTCTCTCTCTCTGTCTATGGCTCTGCCTCTCAAATAAATAAATAAAAGCTTAAAGGAAAAAAATTCAGAGAAAGTTAAAAATGTCTAGTAATTTATTTAAAAATAACTTGGCAGATCCTTTGTGCGATATCCTTATAAGCTATTACTATGCATATGTTTGTGATCAGTTAGTGTTTTCCAAAACAAAACATGGTTTAGTGAGAAGAAAGACATTCTAGGTTTTTGCACATTTCTTCAATGTTTAACTTAATAGAGGCATGAAAAAAATTCTTCAATGTGCTTTTATATTCAGTGTTGCTTATTCAGTGTGGTTCATATGTTCAGTATGTTAGATTTCAGTATGTTATGTGAAAAAATCCAGTCTCATACAGGTATATAATTGGTGAAGAGGGCATTTTAATAGCGTTTTCAGGTAATTATAGATCTTTTTCCTCAGTGGAAAATCACAGGTCAATAAATGCTTGTTTCTTAAAGTCAGGTGCAGTGTGGAATCTAAGAGCACATCAGTGAGTGCTTGTGCTCAGTCAGTCTAGGAGCACATCAGTGAGTGCTTGTGCTCAGTCTAGGAGCGCATCAGTGAGTGCTTGTGCTCAGTCACTCTAGGAGCACATCAGTGAGTGCTTGTGCTCAGTCACTCGAGGAGCACATCAGTGAGTGCTTGTGCTCAGTCACTCGAGGAGCGCATCAGTGAGTGCTTGTGCTCAGTCACTCGAGGAGCACATCAGTGAGTGCTTGTGCTCAGTCTAAGAGCACATCAGTGAGTGCTTGTGCTCAGTCACTGTAAGAGCACATTAGTGAGTGCTTTGTGCTCAGTCACTCGAGGAGCACATC